CGTGAAAAGAAGAAAATACTTGCTGTGGCCTTCAACTTGACATTTAACTTGACATTTAGATATATCGACAACGTAAATACAATGGTTAATTATTTCCATTCTGATGTCCACACGATATATCCCGGAATGCTTGAAATAAAAGATACCACAGAGTCTGAGTCATCTGTTTCATATTTTGATATTTACTAGAAAAATACGTTAATGGTTATCTAACAAAAAGCAAAAGCATAAACGTGATGACTTCAACTTTCCAATCGTCAACTTCCCTTACTTAAGAAGCAATATACCTTTGACACTTGCATGCGGAGTTTATATCTCTCAGTTGATTCGATACGGAAGAGCATGTTCTACATTTGAACAGTTTCTAAAACGAGGTATTTTATTGTGAAACAAGTTAATGAAGCAAGAAAATCAGTAGTCTCGTTTAAAGTCATCATTTTGTAAGTTCGATGGTCGATTAAATGGCCTTGTCAGCTATTAGAATTTATCATTACGTCAAACGCTGACTGACTTTTTTCATACTGATTATTAGGACATTATTTATACACTGAATTGAAGAAGGATTTTTCCGTTATTTCCCAATCATGACAAGGAGCACATAGCAGGAGTGACAGGTCAGCAGGGGAACTCCTCAATGGCACCTGATACCACCTCGGATGCTTTGAAGGTCATGTTTGCTCTGCTCCTATTTCGTAATATTAAATGGACTTTTGAGCTTTAATATTGTTCGTTATCTCACCATTTTTTCATAATATTATAAAGAAGCAAATGTTATAATCATATGTTATAATCATATACTTATTCTCATATATTTTGAAAGTTTATTAATTTTTTCCAATGTATAACTTAATCGTCCCATCAGAATTTTTTCTCGTTTTCTTTTCCTTTCATTCCGTGTTTTTGAATAGAGAACAGTTGCCCTTATTGTTGTTGTTGAAGTTAATTATTCTCTGTAACCTGTACATATTCTTTCTCAAACATCCATTCTACTCAAGAAAAAATGTGGAAATTGTGTTCCCATCTCACGCGCTGACTGGCATTCAATGACGGCGGCGCGTGCTGTTTACCCAAATAATGTGAAACAATAGAATTGCAGTTGGTAGCATGTTTTACGCCTGCAGTAATTAATCGACAGCTCGGTAAAGTCTGTTTTGGGGGGACCAGCAGAGATTGTTAACGTTCCAATACATTGTATTAAGACATAAACTGCTGAAGACGAAAGCCATTTCTCATTATAACTAGCAGCAAGTTTGGCACTTAGGATAATCGTGTCTTAATAGCTATTGGCTTCTTCTCAGGAGAGATTTCTAAATTTTGCTGATAGTGTTCTTAAGAATTTTGATCGGGTCATTTTGTATAAAAATTAAGAAAAAAAATCTATATTAAAGAAGCCCGAAGTTTAGGGCTAAGTACAGTAAAAATGGTTTTGATTAAAGATCTACATACTGTGTAATATTGTATTTAGGACATTTACATCTTGGAAACTTTTTTTTTTCCTATCAAAATTTCTTATAAAGTGGACTGAACATAATTTGAAAAATTACAAAAAAATGTGTCCGTTTGGAATTTTGTCCAAATGTATGTAACGGATATAAAAATAGTTTTAAAAATCATATCATACTAACCTTTGTGAAAAAGGTAAACATCTTAACTTACACCCATGTTAATTTGCAAGTTTTTTTGTTATTAGACAGATCAAGTAAATAAAACCATCAAAACACCGACTGTGTTTTCCTGGGTTCTTAACCACTTATTTAAAAGGTTTCTCTTGTTATCAAAAATAGTATCTCTGCTCTCTGGTTATCACTTCTCGGGCCATTTTTATTTGAAAGATACTCCCTGTTGTCTTCAAAGGTTTCCGAAGGTAGACACTTCTTACAGATAATTGTACGAAGGAACAACACTTCGTCTAAATTTTAAAATATAAATCCTTGAAATTCATAACTGTTTTAATTAGCATCTCTGAAAAATTATTTTCTTAGTACATTTTCAGTAAATGAAAAATGATTGTATCTGTTTAATTTAAGTTTATTATCAAGATAAAGAGCCACATTTTGATTAAGAATACGATGATATCTTTATTCTTTTCATCATTAATACTATCTTTTCTCAAGGTCATAGATTACGCATCTTTATTCATTTACAGCGCATGCTTCATCATCCGGCGGTAAGAAACAGCAGCCTTTTGCTAAATACTTGTTTCCGATGCTTTGTATTCGGGAACTATTAAGTTTGGTACGCCAGTGGTAATTTAATTAATTTGATGAGGAGGTGAAAAACTCGCCTTCAAAGCTCCCTATCTCTCTAAGATTCCTCTACAAAGAACAATCAGGAAAAAGATCTCATCAGTGATTAAAACTAACTCTTTTTCCTCCAGAAACTCTCTTAAAAGTGTAAATTGTATATAAATAGTACCCCATCCTGAAGGATTTGTCATTAATGCAAAAAAAAAAAAAAAATGGAGGAAAAAACATAAGAAATGCATGACTGTCTTCCTGACAAGCTCCTAGAGCATGTATAGCGATACATAAATTAAGGGTGAACTATTTCTCAACATTTATCGTGAGTGGAAGCCACTTTTGCTACATTTGACAGACCGGTAAATACGGTGTTTACATGCTATTGACTAGGTTTTAGGTTGAAAAAACATCCCTTGTTGAATCGATTAGCGAAAGATTTACTCTTTCTAGAGTGGCACTGATTATTTCTACAGCTGCATTAAGTCTTCTCCAGAAACAGATCTCACTATATACTTTTGTCAGTATTTTTTGTCTCGAACAAATTTTGCTCTTAGAATTTACCCCCATTTGTATCGTAAGAATAAGCAATTATGAATTTTGTCTTCTACTTTCATCTAGGTTACTTAAAATTCTTGGAGAAAACATAAAATTTCAATTTAATAAATCGACCGCAGACTAACTTACGTAGGATGATATAACTTGTAAGTCATCCGGAATTTATGGAATACATAAACGAATTCTAAATCTGTATTATCCCTAGATGACTTAACAAAGCTTTCCTAAATTCTTCAAGTATCAACAAAATTATTGAATTATTTTGAATATTATGAAAAAGCCTAGATTTTTCATACAGAGAACATTTTCTGGCATATATATATGACGTATAGGATATTTTGATGAACATGTATGCTATTTTCCATCTATTCATGTACAAAAACGAGAAAAAAGATGTTTTTTATCAGGGAAATTTTTTCTTCCTACAGATTTTTTTTCAAACGGAAATGAATATTTCATTCTCAGTCACTATAAAATAAACAGTAAATGTTATTGCCAAAAGAAACATAGATTTTTTTTAAAGTTTTCTGGACAAATACATGATAAAACAACAGTTAACATGAGTCTCCTATAACGTCTGAAAACGATACCAATTTTTTTCCCGTTCAAAGGAATAGAGAAATAATTTTTCTCGACAATGGTACTGAAGTAAAATTTGACTTTGATATTAGTAATATTGGAGAAATATTGGCGACGTTAAGTCATTTTGTCAAGTTTCCTGGCATTGTAAATAATTGATATCGTCTAAACTTGGTATATAAAGTCTAAGTGCTTAGGTTCAGTTGGATGACCAAGCCAAATATTGCATTAATGAATTAATAGTCACGGTAAATCAATATCACACCTGTGAAATATACTTTGATCTTAAAAGATTTCAAAACAGGTAGAGAACAATAAATTTGGAAATAAAATCTCTTATTGTATTTACAGAATAATAATGAATTTTACTCTTTGAAAATCAGTTGACTCAACAACTCCATAAATCCTGAAAGAAAAACCTATTGAATTTAACTAGTGTGCCACGTAAAGCGTTGGTCGTGATTAGTAAACTTTCAGTTTACTGGTTAAGATAGTGAGTTGTGGAGCGGGGGTCGCATAGATACTTAGATACCTAGTAAAAGTTACTTATATCAATTCTAAATTTACTAATCTTATCTAGTAAATATACCAATATCTGGTAAAACTACTTTTAAGGTAGTGATTGTATGGACAGTAAATTTACTAGTTTTCTTCGTGACTTTAACTAGTTATTTTTTTTTACAGTGAGCTTAAATCCACGCATCTTTAATGATAGCTGTGTCTCAAATCAAATAAATTGTCAAAATTTTTAATTTAACAAAATTTCGACAATCTCAACTAATGAAAGCACATGAGATTCTTATGAGGCATTATTTTCTTATTTTCGCTGCGCATGCGTACGCACACAACGGAAGGAGTAATATTTCTAAATTGGGCAACGATATCTTCTTCGCCACACAAGTAGATTATTTTATGTTTTGATATTTTTAACAAAAACTGAATAATTTAACCTTTGATGAAATAAATAAAATTTATTACCTAAACGAACAAAACGAAAAAAAAATCCCCACTCATTTACTTCTTAATTTTTGTACATTGACGCGTCGGTTTTTTTTACTCACACGGTCTCGAAATTAAATAAAACATCATATATTTTAAAAAAAATACCATATTGTGATAACTAATAAATTAAAAAAAAAATGATAGAAAAATTAATATTTATTAAATGACCATTTTATCATGTTGGCTCAATAAATGGCCAGGCCCAATTATATATTAATACGTTTATTTGTATATTATCGTATTGACAGTATCTTTACTTTGATTTTAAAATAAATATTGAATTTCCGATCGATCCTTATATAAAGTTTTTGCTGATATTTCTTATAATTTTACATTATAAGGAAAATATAATTTCTTTAAAAACTAGAACGTTTTAATTAATCAAAAAAAAACAAAAAACTTCTGGATAAAAAAAGGTCAACAGGTGTTGAAATGAAAAAGAAATTAAATAAGACAATGTTACGTGCTAAAATATTTTCTTAATTGATACATTTATGTTCAAGTATTACCTACGAGATTTGTTAGGTTCTACAATTAGCTTCTTATAGTAGTTCAGTTTTAATTTAAGAATAATGTACTATCCCTTAAGTTTTATATCCAGTTAACATATTCCTTGAGGGCTTCAAATGTTGCTAAAGGTAAAAAGAAACATACAATGATTCACATATTTATTTCTGGTAGACCACCAGAATAATCTACAATGACATCACAATTAGAGTTCAAAGGTCAGCCTCGTTCTGTCTGAGTGACGACCACAAAGCTGGATGTGGAAGAACATTTCTTTGATTGGTATGTATTATGATACTGGAATTTAGTCTTAGGACAAAAACAAAATATAATTTTCCCGAAAGCTCGACGGAAATCTTTCATTGATAATGCGTATATAATAGGATTCATGCCTGAATTAATATATCCGAGCCATGTGAATAGAGGAAACAATATGTCTTTATGTGTTAAACACTCATCATGACATATTCCCTCCAAAATATTGAACACAAAAAATGGTACCCAGCACAAAATAAACACTCCTACCACAATTCCAAGAGTTTTGGCCGCTTTTTGTTCGCGGGCCACCTTTGTTAATTTTTTGCTAATGGCAAACTGACGGATGCGTTTGGTTATACATCTCGCCGGTCGGTGTGAAGCGGAATCTGAATTCCTTTTGCCGTTCGTCACTAATGTCTGTCTTTCACAATCACTGAGACACTTTTCAAAGGACTGCGAGTACTCGTCCGAGGACTGCCGAGACATAGCAGTCCCACCCCCGCCTCCCCCTCGATGTATTCGTAACGTCATAACTTCACGGTTCCCCCTGGCGCCATTAGAGGTTAAGGTCTTTTGACCAACTTTTAAACTTCGAATTTGTGCTGTTGCAGCCATATAAATTTTCCAGTAAACAACCATCATAATAATTGAAGGACAATAAAACGAGACAAGTGATGAAATGATTAAATAGGCACTGTCGGAAGTAAATATACACTCATTTTCTGCAGGTATATCCGGTGTTACGGCTTTCCACCAGGCAATGGCGGGAAAAGAAATGCCTGCCGACAGTAACCAGACGAGAGCTATAGAAAGCCACGTCCGACAAACTGTCATTCTGGAGGTATACTTGATAGGGTCACTGATGGCCCAGTATCTGTCTAAAGATATTCCACATAGGTTGAGTATGGACGCTGTACTTGCTAGAACGTCAAAAGAATGCCACATATCACACCACTCTGGCCCAAACAACCATACTTGTCCAGTAAGTTCCAATGTTATCGCAAAAGGCATCACAATGCTTCCCACCATAAGATCTGCCACCGCTAATGAGACGATAAAGTAGTTGGTAACCGTTCGTAGGTAAAGCTCTTTTGTCACTGCAACAATAACTAAAATATTTCCAACAATAGTTATAAAAGAAAACATTGCGAGCACTACACCAATGGCTGCTTCACCGGGGGAATATGTGCTCTCGTTCATCGTCTGTGCCATGGTGAAATTTGACGTAAAATTTATGAAAATGTCTTTTGACGCATTTCCAAGAAACACCGCATGTGCATCCGATTGGTTTTCATTTTGTGTCGTGGTCAACTGTAAAAATTCAAATGCTGTGTTCTTTTTGGTGTCTGAATACGACATTAATACGTTTGGTGAACTTTGGCTCCCGCGAGCTGCTTAAGAACAGGAATGCCCACGCAGCGTTTCCAAAGAATCGATGCTTAGAAATGCATCGCAGCCAGCGTTTCCTACAGGTAACACACGATATCAGTGTGAAAACCTCGCGTCAGGCTTCATTCTTTAGAATGATTTTAGAATTTTCATTTAAAGGATTCCTTCAATGTTTCATTAATACTGATATTTCTTTGAGAACAAAACCATATTTTGAATATCCCGATCCACTTTGAATTCAATATTGTTCACCGGCCAGCTAATCATAGGAATGCAATCTCCGTAGGAATGCAATCCAGGTATCACTATCAAAAGGTGGTTGTCTCTGAGTTGCTTCTTTAGCTGTAGTGATGAGGACCCTGATCTTTACATTGGTAGACGTGATGTGAATTATGAGGGGACGGAAACAAAGCCTCTGTGTATGCTTCAGACCTTCACAATTCCCGAATTATCCTGAAAATTACAAAGAAGAAATCTATCACATCAAGTTTATAGGCAGATTAGAGGGACCGAATCTTCGCGAGATGGAAATCAGACCAGATAATTAGGACGAACGGCTGTCTATATAAAAGTACGATATAAATCTAAGGTTCAAAAAAGGCAAGCGATTTACGCCACAATCACTAATCCCAAATAAAGACCATGTCACTGCGTATTTGAAAACTTATTTATATATCCATTGTCCAGTGGCCAATTTCTGATGTAAAAGTCACGATTTCTATCTTGTCGTGGGTTAATAAGCTTCGGGGTGAAAAATTATTTTTAGTGACGCAGGTATTTTATTTTAATTTCTATGTTTGCAATCAAAGTCATAGTGACATATTAATGAATATAAAAATGTCAAAAGTAGAAAAATATCCCATTATCGTCATAGGAAAATTCTGGGAGTGAAGCAGAAAATTCAGATGCTGTCCCGTGTTTGCACAACTCTGGATTGTCTGGGGACTAATCCGAGGCATTGATTTGACCCAAATAATAAACGATTCACCTGAGTTCTAATGAAGGTATAGTCATTAGGTTCACCTAAATCAGCTCTGATTTTCGTACAACTAAGTTACCAAAATATCAATTGACGGGGCTGTATTAGCCAGAAAACATTAAATAGCAGCAACTAAGTATTATATCAAAAGATAACATAAACACAGCAAAGGAAAATCATCAGAGAATTAACTTTATGATGAAAAACTGCTATTTCTGCATCTATGATATTCAGCAACATTCCACTGAGAGAAATATGCCTATTTTCCAGTTGGCGATTTCTACATTCTGCAATGAACAATATAAGAATCATCCAGCTCTTCAGATTTTAGTACAGTTGTACTTTTACAAGAACCCCTACCTTTCATTCAGCCTGATTAAACGCATAATCTGGAAATTCAACTTTAGTGGTTCACACGAGTCAACATTAGTTTTAAAGAAAATAGATTCCCGATGTGACAACTTTGAAGAATTGATATGAAAGAAACAAAATTATTTGATCCTCCTCCGAGAGAACTAACTGTGTGGTCTGTTTTATGTATCCGAAACAGACGTACTGATATAACATTTCATAAACAAACATCGTTTATACTAACGGAATTGACAGATGGAAGTTTTTGATTGTACGCAAAAGAATTGGATTAAGTCTGCTAATAGTACATTTGACATTAATGAAAATGTGTAAGATTTTCTGAGGCTTAAAAGAACTTGGTGCGGAACGGAAGTTTACCTCTTTTCAGAACAAAACCCGGTTTTCTTAATCCGAATTTCGCTACATAATACTTTTATTTTTAAAATTTGCTTCCAATTCTAACTTTGGCGCTATATTTAAAAGATGTCATCTTTGTTCTATTTCAGGATCTATACCTCAAAAGTTTCCATTCCCAAACCAGAAATATGTTACAGGAAACGGAATGTAATTCTGTCTGAGGCTACGGAATTATTGAAATGTTATTTCGTGCAGTTTGAACGACTTAAAAGAAATAGATCACTCGTTTATATAAAACAAATACCCTTTTCAGAGCAAATATGAATATCGATACTATCTGTATATAATTATTATTGGCAATTAATTAATAAAACATACAAAGTTGACGCAAGTATAACATGTACTAGGCGCCCATTTTCTTTTCGTTTTTTCCCATTCTTACATATAATTCCTATTTTGGATCCTTTCTGCGTTTAAGGAAATGTACGTTCGTTATTTCTGTGTAATGCAAACTTAACACCAGGAAGTTAATGAGAGCGGAAGCATCATGATCAATTATCTTGTTTACGATGAAAGATATCGATCTGTTATAAACTATCGAGCCAATGTGCATTTGACAGAAAATAGCTCTATTTACAAAATGTTTGGACCGTGATAAAACAATAACAGCAACTTCTCACTAATTGCCACAAGAAAAGGCATTTATCACCCTCCTAAAATGGTCCATAATTATATTTTTGCAACTAGAATAAGGTGGTTAACCAAATTTATCGTTTAACAAGTTGTTCAAATATCTGTACAGAGATTAATTCAAACTGGAAACTAACACCCCAAGTCCTATTTAGACCGTTATTCTTTCATTTGTAGCATGGCGGACTTTCCTGTGTCATTTCCTACTTCTTATTAATGTAGCGAAATATCCCGCCTATGTCATCGCTGAACATGACAAAGTTAAACCAAAACTTTGGATTGTTTATTATAGGTAATTAAGAAACACCAAATCATTGATGGATTCCGTTCTTTTATAGTCCATTGTCTTTATTACTGTGCCTATGAAACAGAACAACCCGAGACAACCAATAAGCAGGTATAATGTACTTCTGAGACAGTTTAGAGACGAAATACCGGCCCAGGTCAAACAGACAGAGTTTACCAGCGAGTGCTCGCCAAAATCCTTAGAAGTCCAGATCCTTTAAATCCTTTTACAACATTATCCTTGAATAAATGGGAATACGTTTTGCTATCATCAAACATAATTGAGGAGGCATATTCCTTCATAAGCTTATAAATAATCTAAACAGTTCATGCTTACAGGGAGATTACTTTGGCTTTAAATGTGTCGGGTTGAATAATTTAGGTTAAAATAATAGAGAGTTTCTACAGCCTGAATAAAATAATAAAGCTTTTCGACTTATGAATGAAGAATTAGCAATGTGAAACGCAAATTTAATTTCATCACCTGGATAAATCTTGCATACAATTCTTGATGATTCAAATATGAAAGCTGTCAATGTTTTTTTTTTATTAATCATTTAGAAATAGAACTTTGTACATTGACGTCTGTATTACAATACTTCGAGAATTCCTCAAATTCCTATACCGTTCAAGTGCTTCTATACCGTATTGTAGTGTTAAGCCGAGGTAATATCCAGTTGAACTGTCGATGGGAATTTTGTTTTCCGGATCTTCGGAGAGAGTTAATCCCTGTGTATCTCATTGTTCACATTAACCGCCGGGACACCGTGGATCGCATTCATTAAAGATCCATCGGCATTTACTTAATTGTGTTCACTTCCTGTCAACACATCAAATATGTTTCATCGAACCCAAGCCTTATGTACAAAGTTTCAAAGAGCTGAAGCAAGCTTCTTAGGAAATAAAAAATATAAATATATAATTTTTTTTTACCAATCGATTTTCGCCAGATCAACGTCTTCATATCCATGTATAAAATTATACATTTTCTAACATCAAAACATTTCATAGAAATTTAAATATAGTCTGAAATGAATGTAAAATTGTCACTTTTTAAATTTATCTATGTATCTATCCTTCCGTTTCATCGAAACAGAAGTGATAAAAGAATAAGAAAGATTATATGAACAACATGTTTTTGTTCAAGCTTACAAGGCTTATAACAATGTCGTCTTTGTTTGCAAGATTCTTTGAAATATTTGCATTTTAGAAAAACTTGGCTTCAATCATACGTCTAGAAATCCTACATATGCTCAAAGCTCACCTTCATAGAGAAGAAATTCTTCAAATCACATTTCAGTGTTGAATACCTTAAAACATTCTCATAAACCAGGTGACTTCAATTTTCCCTCCCTTGCTGGATTCGTAAGTTTAAAAAAATCTTACAAGCAAAGAAACAATGCAGGTTTCAGTGAATTGTCTACCAAGCCCCAGTCTTTACTACTTGCAGTAATATTAAGTGCTATAAAGTTGAAAAATTAAACGCACTGTGCTACAGCATACTCTAGAAATGGTGAAAATCAGATGTAGATTTTCAAAACTCCAAATGTAAAGTCATTTTTTTTCAAAAGTTAATAACACTAAAATGTACGAACTTTCTACATTATATTCAACCATTCGTTTAATAAATGAAAAATTAGGCTTTTTTATTATACACAACTTCTTCAATAAAAATGGAATCGGTAAATTTTTGCATGTTGTGATTTGTCCTTCTCAAAATCACTTCATTTATAGGCCCTCTGATGCTACACTCGAGTACATAAAAAGGATACTTTGGTTCCTCATTGAAAACATTTATATCGTCTTCGGGGACCAAGTCCTCCAACAAACCATTAGAATTCCGATGGACAATAAAGGCTACTTCTTTCTTAGCCGATCTGTTTTTTTTTTATTATTGTTTTGCATTCCTAAAAAAACAGAATTTATTCACAAACTTCTATTCAAGAAGAAAAATACACTTGCCGAGACCCTCAACGAGACATTCCGACAAGTTGACGATGTTTTATCAATTAATAATAGTTATATCCATTCATATGAGGATTCCATGTATCCCAGTGACGTGGAATAAAAGACACAACAGATTCTGTCACATCTGTTTCATACTTGGATATTTTACCGACTATATACGATGAGGACCAATTATCAACTAAACCTTATGACAAATCAGATGACCTCAACTTTTTATCGTCAACTTCCCTTTTGATTTAGCAATATCCTGCTATCACCTGCATATGATCTCTCAACTTACTCGATACTCAAGAGCATTTGTGGAGTATGATAAACTTTTATCCCAAGCGGGCTACTCACAGATAATTTGATATATATCAGGTATTTCATAACCTCATTCAAAGTCGGCATTTCCTAAATTTTCTGGTCTTTTATAATGATCTTGTTACCAAATGTAACCTATCATTCGGTCGGATTTTGGTTGACTAGTTCACTTCAATTGTGAGGCTTTTTTTAAATACATGTAGTAAATTGTCTACAGAATGTTCTTTCTATTTGATCAATACATGTTGCTCACGGCAGGTGAGACCGGTCAACAGGGATGCCTACTCTCCCTAGGCACCTGATCCCACCTCTGATGTATCCGGAGGTCTGTGTTGATGCTCTGTTTACAGATTTGAATTGTTTCTATATTTTTGTTTTGCAGATCGGCCATTGTTTGTTATCGTAATCTTTTATACAGCTTATTCCACTTATATTGAACTCGCTTATTTTGAAATTCCGCTTATTTTGAAATGAAAATAAATCCCCAATTTTTGCCTCTTATATTCTTTGCATTGAAATA